TTTTACTCTTGCTTTTATCCTTCTACTCTATTGATACCTTGCTCATACCCAGTTACCTGGCAATAAAAGACTTGCAGGAGCAAAAAACTCATTTTGGACCAAAAGATCCACAAGTTCTCCAACAGTGCAATTTGTGGTACCCCAGTCAAACAGTAATTCAGATGTGGGACTTTTCCCACTTTGAAGTAATGCCTCGAATCTCCTTAAAACAAATAAAAAGAAATGAAATTAACACATGAAAACAGGAATTAATACCCTCTGCTCCTGTTTAACTCCTGGCATCACCCATGGGATTAAAGGAAAGAGACAGCAAGATAACCTGCAAGAATTAATGAGACAGGAGACAGGCAAGAGCAGAAGACAGAGATGATAACAGAGAGTAGAGCTGTGACTCAAATAGCAGAACACTAGCCTGGAGTGAAAAAGACAAGTAAGAGTGTAGAGCCCTGAGTTCAAGTCCCAGTAAACACACACACACACACACACACACACACACACACACACACGTGGGGAATACAGCAAAAACTGCAAAGAAAAATAGAAACCAGGCCAGGTACCTGTGGCTCACGCCTATAAACCTAGCTTCTCAGGAGGCTGAGATCTGAGGATTATGGTTCAAAGCCATTCCAAGCAGGAAAGAATTTCATCTTCAATTAACCAGAAAAAAGAATCTGGAAATGGAGCTGTGGCTCATGTGGTAGAGCACTAGTCTTGAGCAAAAAAGCTCACGAATAGCTTCTAGACCCTGAGTTTTAGCCTGAGGACCAACATGCACACACAAAACACACCCAACTAATCAACCAACCAACTAACGAATCCATCAAACAAAACAAAACCCTCCCCCAAAGAAAACCATAAAAGGCTCATACTGTCTCTTCATAATTCAGAGGTTCAGTTTTTAGACTTCACTTCAATATTAGACAGTTATTTACACCTTTATCATTCCCGTGATGTAAACATTTAAAAAGAAGAACGTTGAGTGTTACCTGATGTGAAACTGATTGTATCTTTCATCACCAGATGGTTTTTTAATGGCAACTGCTAATTTCTTCCATCCTTCTTGAGGGTCCATAAAATCTGACAGCTTCCTAATTAGTCCAACGTTCAAGTTCCGCACATATGTTGATGGGGTTATGGGTTTGTTCATCTTCCACTCCTGAAATACGAGGAATTCTCTGTTAAATTTTACAGTGGTTTCAGAGATGACATCTGCAAACTGATAGATCAATATTTGCTGTATTGTATGAAATGCTGGCAAATGATTATACCCTAAACAACAACAAAAAACACTCCAAAGCCAACTACTTGGTTTCCTAAGACATTCAAATTTAACTTCATCTAATCGTCCTTTGAATTTGCTTTCTTTCCTCATCTGTAAATATCAACTCACACTGAAGGACTTTGTTCTGATGCTGGTGTATGGGTGTACAGGGGCTTGAACTCTGGCTGGGTGCTGTCCTTCAGCTTTTTTTTTTTCCCCCTCAAGGCTATAGCACTCTACTTGAGCCATTGATTCCCTTCTAGCTTCCTGAGAAGTTCATTGGAGATAACTGTCTCACTGACTTTCCTGCCCAGGCTGGCTTCAAACCATGATCCTCAGATCTCAGCCTCCTAGGTAGCTAGGATTATAGGCATGAACCAACCTAACATAATTCAGGTGGAAATTGAGAAATATAATAAAGTCAGTGTCAGCTTGTGAAACCCAAATGAGTTCCCAATCATATGTCTCTTCTCAAACAGACATACTATGGTGCCCCAGAGAAGAGGTCAAAATACTTTGGTCACAACAATCACTAAAGCTTTAAGACTGTACCTCCTTAGCACTCTGATCGGGGAGAAAAATGGTGATTCTAATATCTAAGAATTCTGAAATAGGGCTGGGAAGGTGGCTCAGGGGTAGAGCTCTTGCCTTGCATGCCTGAGGCCCTGGGTTCAATTCCTCAGCACCACATAAGCAAAAAGAAAAAAGCCAGAAGTGGCGCCGTGGCTCAAGTGGTAGAGTGCTAGCCTTGAGCTGAAGAGCTGAGGGACAGCGCCCAGGTCCAGAGTTCAGGCCCCACGACCGGACCCCCCCCCAAAAAAAGAATTCTGAAATAATTAAGATGATCATTTTTTTGTCTGTCTTGGTTATTCCTGGGGCCTGGGTGCTGCCCCTGAGCTGTTTTTACTCAAGGCTAATACTCTACCACTTGAGCCACAGCTCCACTTCCATCTTTTTTGCTGATTAACTGGAGATTAAGAATCTCACAAACTTTTCTTACTTACCCAGGCAAACTTTGAGCCATGATCCTTAGTTCTCAGCTTCCTGAGTAGCTAAGATAACAGGTGTGAGCCACCCATGCCTAGCAAAATCACCAAGTGTAATAAAGCCTCATTTTGTCATGTAATAGGTGATCAAAAATAGAAATTATTATTTTCTGGCAGACTTTTCTTTAAACAAATGTGCAGTTATTTTTAAGCTCAGCTTCCAGAATACTGGAGAACGTGTATGTTACAAAAATGAGATCTGAGAATATAATAAACTTTTCGGTAGTCTTATTTTATTTTTATTTTTTTGGTCTGGTCATGGGGCCTGAACTCTGGGCCTGGGCGCTGTCCCTCAGCTCTTCAGCTCAAAGCTAGCACCCTACCACTTAAGCCACAGCACCACTTCCGTTTTTTTTCCTGCTTATGTGGTGCTGAGGAATCGAACCCAGAGCCTCATGCATGCAAGGCAAGTGCTCTACCACTGAGCCAACTTCCCAGCCTAGGGTAGTCTTATTTTGTCAAGCAAGACATTTTAAATATATTTATTGCTTTTTAAAATATATCGCTCATTTCTATTCATTCTCTGTAAAATATGCCAGATGACCATCAATATGTGGTTTTGAGTATCTCAACATCCTTTTTATGTACAAAAGCTGATACCTTCCAGAGACTTTTTTCAGTAAGTATATGTGTTGATGTGCTATAAATTAAATATATATTTAAAAAATTTAAATAATTTTTAAAATGCCTAAACACACTAAAATATGTAACATTATTCACTCACTCCCATATTACTGGTGTCTACTTTGTGCTAAATTGTAATCTGGGTCCCTAGACATAAGGCATTAGAAAAATTCGGGGAAAAAAAAGATATAAAACTCATGGAGCTTCTATTCTAATAGAGGAAGACAAGCAATAGCCAAATGAATGAGTTCTAGAGCAAGCTATATGACACAAAATGGAATGAAAAGAAAAGGACACTTTGGAGAGGATGCTAGACTAAGGAAGAGAAGCAGTAAGAGACTAATTAGAAAGGTACACTAATAATCCAGGTGAGAGGCACCAAAGGCTTGGACCAGAGCATAGTAGAGAGAAGGTGCAAAAGTCCTGGGACATTGGATGTTTTCTGAGGTACTGCCAACAGAATCCTCTGTGCTGATGTGGAGACTGGAAAGATGGGACTAAGTCTTTTTAACATGAACAGATTTCCTGGTAAGTATTTAGATCAATGAAGACTGTGGAAAGAGAAACTCTAGCCTGGAAAATCAGGAGCCTGTCAGGACAGGAGAGCAAACTTCCAATGAGTTAGCATTAAAACAGGAGTACAGGAATATTTGGTGTGTGTGTGTGTGTGTGTGTTTGTGTGTGTGCCAGTACTGGGACTTGAACACAGGGGTGCTTGGGCATGGCCCCTTATCTTTTTCACTCAAGGTAGGCTATCTACCACTTGAGCTACATAGCTCCATTTCCAGCTTTTTGCTTATTAATTGGGGGGAGTATCAAGGACCTCCCTACTCAGGTTAGCTTTGAACTACGATCCTTTTCAGATCCCAGCCTCCTGAGTAGCTAGAATTACCAAGTGCTAACCACCCTCGCCGGCCAAACACAAAAGAATTCTTTAAAGTTGAATTTTTTAAACAAATAGATCTTCAAAGATTCCTTCTGGCGAGGGAAAAGAATCCGGGTGAGTGTGTGGGGTGGGGGGCCACATTTGTTGTCCATTCCAGATGGCTAAAGTTGCTTCCTCGCTTTCCCAAGGGCTTAGCTTTTGGTCCTTCTGTCTCCTCTCTGGCTGCCAAGCTCCCAGGTTTTTGGTGTTCAAGAAAAGTGCTTTCCTTTCAGAAACATACCCCCTCTAGGGAGCTGAGGAGCCCCCCCAGGGGCAGGTCCTCCCGAGCCCCAGGTGGGGCCCACTGACTCCCCTTCACGCCTAAGGTTCATCCCCCAAGTCCCACCAATGGTGGTTTCTGTGTAGGCCGGTGCCAGGGCTTGAACTCAAGTCTGGGCGCTGTCCCTGAGCTTCTTTGGCGCTCTACCAGTCGAGCTACAGCGCCACTTGCAGCTTTTGGTGGTTAACGGCAGAGAAGAGGCTCAAGGACTGTCCTGCCAGGGCTGGCTTCGAACCGTGATCCTCTGAGCGCAGCCTCCCGAGAGGCCGCTGGGCCGGCCCACCGACGCGCATGGAGCCCAGTCCCCCGCACCCACGTCCTAACTTCGCTCCCTCGGACCCTCAGACGGACGATCTGCGTTCTGCAGGGGGTCGCGCGACGACCCCGGGGCAGAGGGGCGCTTGGGGCTCGGCAGATCGCCGGTGCGGGGAATGAACACGCCCGGGACCCCTTACCTGCGCGCGTGAGCCAGCCTGGGCCGCGGGCTCCACCAAGACCACCACGGAAGACACCGACACCCGGAAGCGCGGGGCGGAACCAACGGGAAAGGCCCGCCTCTCCGCGCCCTCCCTAGCACGTTCCGCCTCCCGATTGGCTTCATCATCCATTTAGCCCCGCCCCCGATCCACCCACCACGCCCATTCCTCCCAATCGTTCTCTAGATCGTCCTTGTTCCCTCCCCCTGGTCCCTCCTCACCCGCCACGCCCCCGTCCCGCCCCACCCCGCCCCTCCCCGTCTCCTCATTCGATTACTACACGCGCCCCCCAGCGGCCCCACACCTCGAGAAGCTCCCCTTGTGCCTGCCTGCCCCTTTAAGTAGGTCCCAGTCGGAGGCAGAAAAATCGTTACTTCTTCCGGACATGCGCACACCCGCGGCCGGCGTGGTGCTCGGCGGAGGCGCTCACCTGGCCCGGAGGTAGGGCGGCCGCCAGGTGCGGGCGCCGATCGCAGCGGGAGTGGGGGACGCGCGGGGCCGCAGCGCGGAGAGGCAGCGTCAGGCCTGCTGTCGGGGACGGTTGTGGATGGGAAGAGGCTTTCGATCTGCAGTCCGCGGGTGTGGGCTGGGGCGGCGGCGGCCGGCGCGGAGAGCCGCGGTCACCTGTCTGAGGCTTCTAGGGGTACCCCTCCCTTCCCCCCCCGCAGCTGGCACCACCACTCGACCACGACCACGACCACCCCCTTCCCCCCCCGCACCAAAATCCGAAGCCGCACCTCCAGGCCCGACCTTTGGGTGATCAGTGGAGAGTCGAGGCTCAGGGACGGTCCCTGCCCGAAGCCGGCTTTGAACCGTGATCCTCCAGTGCCAGCCTCCTAAATAGCTAGCCTAACACACACACACACACACACACACACACACACATACACACACACACACCATACTAAGCTGGCTTCAAACTATGATCCTCCAGTGCCAGCCTCCTAGACAGCTAGCCTAACACACACACACACACACACACACCATAGGAAGCTGGTCTCCAACTATGATCCTCCAGTGCCAGCTTCCTAAATAGCTAGCCTAACCCTTTACACACACACACACACACACATACCATGCCAAGTTCCCCTATCCATACATTCTCCCCAAGTATGCTTGTTTCATCAGCTGAGAATGCTTTTGGCCACCCCCCTCCTTTTTGGTTTTGCAGAAAGAAAATGCCATTATTCTTCAAAGGTCTGTGCCAAACAGCTGGGGCCTCCATTACTTTGTTTTCCATCACCCGCAAGGTGCAAGCTGTACCATTCCATCAGAGACTTGTTAGAACACCTGTCTTTTTGGATTGTGTCTCTCTCAAACACACACCTCTAGTGGTTCATTGATAGTGAAATAGGGTTTAAGTCATTAGCTGGGCATTCAGTACCATTCATCATTTTAACCCAGCTGTGTTTTCCATCATTTTACCAATTCCCTGCCCCTACTGCCCTGTGAACTCTCTATTCTTATAAAACACATTGCATATTTTGTTTGTACATTAATTACTTAAGATATCCTCTATTTTTTCTCTCTTGAATCAAGGACTTAAATGATTGGTACTTGCCATCTGCCTTCCTGATTTTTTTTGTCTGTCCTGAGCCTTGAACTCAGGACAAGGTTGGCGCTCTACCACTTGAGCCACAGCTACACTTGCAGCTTTTTTGTAGTTAAATGAAAGTAAGAGTTTCATGAACCTTCCTGCCTGGACTACCTTCAAAACATCATCCTTAGATCTCGGCCTCCTGAGTATCTAGGATTACAGGCATGAACCACTAGTGCCTGGCTTGCCTTCCTGATCATTCTAGGCAAAAGGAATCCCTTCTTTCTTTCTGTTTATTCTTCCTTTTTTCCCCCTAGAAGTAATGGCTTTCTTTATTGTATTTATTTATTTATCCATTCACTCATTATTTTAAGTAGTTGTGCAAGAATTATTTTAAGTGGATTTCAGTTCAACAAGTCAGATTATGAGTGCAATGCAACTTGATCAATATCCCCTCCTTCTACTCTTAGAGCTCTTATTTTGTAATGGTTGTTTTGTTTACTCAACAGTATTGGTTATGGACCTAATAAGTGTTTGAAATTATTCTAAATGTGACTTTTTCAGCAGTGAATAAAGAATATACATTTTCTGTTAACAGGGAGTTGACATTAGGTTGGGAGAGATAGACAATGAATGAGAAACACATTAGCTAGATTTGCTACTCAGAAAATCAGACGGTTTATGGAAGAAATGATTTGGAGATTCTTACAGGTTATTGGACAGAGGAAACCTCTGAGAACGTGAATCCTAAGAGGTGCAGCCATATGGTTAAGGAAGGAACAACTGAACAGCAGAAATGGTGTGAAGGTTTTGAAGGTCAGAGTGATGAGTATAGAGGATAAAAGAATAAAGGCAGAAGGCAAAAGACAGGGTCCAGAATCAAAGTGTCTTTGGAAGCTAGAGTATATAATTGAAGCTTTATTATAAATATAACTTGAAGGTTTAGAAATGTAAACTTGATGGTTTACTTTTTATGTGATAATTAATTTATGGCAGTACTGGGGCTTGAACTCAGGGCCAAGATACCCTCCTTTAGCTTTAATTTCACTTAAAGCCAATGCTTTGCCACTTGAGCCACAGTTCACAGCTTCACTTCCAGCTTTATTTATTTATTTCTGGCTGGTTGATTGGAGATAAGAGTTTCACAGACTTTCCTGCCTGATCTGGCTTTAATCATAATCCTCAGATCTCAGCTTCCTGAATCACTAGGATTTCAGGTGTGAGCCACCAGTGCCCGGGTCCATGCTGTCAGTTTATGAGTACAGTGCCACTCGATCAAGGTCACCCCTTCCATCATTCTCCCTCATTTATTCCAACCCCGCCCTTTCCATCAAGTTACTGGCTTCTATTTTCACACATATACTTTGAATGTGATGACTATATTGGCTTATTCTTCCTTTCCATTCATCTTGGTTTACTTTTTTTTTTTGGTCCAGTTGTGGGGCCTGAACTCTGGGCCTGGGCGCTGTCCCTCAGCTCTTCAGCTCAAGGCTAGCGCTCTACCACTTGAGCCACAGCGCCACTTTCTGGCTTTTTTCTTTTTGCTTATGTGGTGCTGAGGAATCGAACCCAGGGCCTCATGCATGCAAGGCAAGTGTTCTACCACTGAGCCACCTTCCCAGCCCTTCATCTTGGTTTACTTTTTTTTTTTGGGTCCGGTCATGGGGCCTGAACTCTGGGCTTGGGCGCTGTCCCCCAGCTCTTCAGCTCAAGGCTAGCGCTCTTCTACTTGAGCCACAGCACCACTTCCGGCTTTTTTCTTATGTGGTGCTGAGGAATCGAACCTAGGGCCTCAGGCATGCAAGGCAAACGCTCTACCACTGAGCCAACTTCCCAGCCCTTGGTTTACTTTTTAAAGGAATATTCTGAATGCTACATGGAGAATGAACATGGGTATTAGAAACAGGTATTAGAAGACTTCCTGATGTCTAAGAATATTCAGGTACAGAAATGTAGCTCAGTGGTATAATGCCTGTTTGGTATGCACAGGGCCCTGGGTTCTATTACCCTCCCCCATGGTCCCCTGTCCCCCCCCCCAAGATTTTTGGATTATAGTAGTAGCAATAAAAGGACAATGAGAGTGATCAGGGCAATTTTTGATGATGGAAAAGTCAACATTAAAGCTATAAAAGTAGATGACCAAAATGAGGATGGAAAGTAAAGGATAAAAGTGAGGAGTTGAGGGACCAGGACTTTAAGCAGATGATCTGCATGGGTGACTACAAAATAAATTGTGTTGGAAAGGAAAATGGTGAGCCAGAACTCATTAGCAAATGAACAGTTATCTGGGATCACAGCGAGATAGTGCTAGCAGGTGATAAAACCTGGTAGCTTGAGTCCCAAAGGAATCAGGACTTTTAAGAAAAGAACAGAAAGAAAGGAAAGAATGAAAAGAAAAAAGGAAAGAAAAGGAAGAAAGAAAAGGAAGAAAGGAAGTGTAGTAGGAGGGGGAGGTGAAGAGGAGAACAAGAAGGAAAGAGAAGCAAAGGAGAAGAAAAGAAAGAAGAAGAAGAGGAGGAGGAGGAAGAAGAAATAGTTTGGAAAAATCAATTAGGGTAGGAAATGGAGGCGACTGTAGGAGTTTAAGCAATTAAAGGAAATTAATATGTTATTTTATATCTCCTAAAGAAGTCGGACATACAGAATGTGTATATAGTCTCTATATGGCACAGTGGGAAGGATTGGGGAGAGGGGCGTTTTCTAAATTGGTTCAGGTTAGTAGAAACAAGATAAAGGTCTAGATGATGTGGCTTAGTGGTACAGTACTTGCCTAGCGTGCATGAAGACCCAGGTTCAATTCCTTAGTACCACATGAACAGAATAAAGCCTGAAGTGACACTGTGGCTAGAGTTGTAGAGTGCTAGCCTTGAGCAAAAGAAGCTCAGGGACAGCCCAGGCTCTCTGGACTGGCAAAAAAACAAAACAACAAAATCTCCAAACCTAAAAAGGTATAGATAATTTGCTGGATGACATGGATAACACAGAGAGCCACTTAGGCTCCAGGAACAGTTCATCTTTCCCACAGCGCCGCATGGTATTGCACATGTCTGTTGCTCCTACAAATGCCAGTGAAGCTGCAGAAAATCCCTGGATCAGCCTCAGAATATTGAATCTGTCCTCCTGGGAGCTTTGCAGAAGGCTTAATGAAGCTCCAAGACTAACTTAAGCTTACCTTTAAAGTTGATAAGGAGATCTTCACTTCTCGTTATCCATTTTGACTCTTCTAGTCTTCTTGTTCTTCTCATGTTTGAATGTCTAATATATAAGAATCTAACCATAATCTCTGTAGAATTAGCTAGGAATTTTAGACTGTAGGAATGAGATTAGACAAATCAATGTAAAACAAATCTATGTTCTGGACTTTTCTTGGTGGGCCTACAATGACTATTTATTTACTTTTGTTTTCTTATTTATTTTAGTGTTATTATAAAGGTCATAGAAATTTTTGATGGCAGCACCGGGGTTTGAACTCAGGGCCTTGCATTCTTGGCTGTCGCTTCTCTAGGCTAGTACTCTACTGCCTGGGCTACACCTCCATTTCTGGCTTTCTTCAGTTTACTGAAGACAAGAGTCTCACAGACTTTTCTGCTTGAGCTGTCTTTGAACCCTGATCATCAGATCTCAGCCTTTTGAGTGGCTAGGATTGTGTGAGCCACCAGCACTCAGCTTCCAAATACTACTTTAAAGGTACACTGACACTGACCCATTTTAATCCTAATGTTTGACAATATTCTGAATGCCACATAGAGAATGAACTATGGGTTAGACAACGAAATAGGAACTGGAAGACTTCATGATGTCTAAGAATATTCAGGTGTAGGGATGTAGCTGATGTTAGACAGAATCCTGTAATAAGTGAAAAATCAAGGTTAAAAACACTAGGTAATGCTGGATGCCACTGGTTCACACCTGTAATCCTAGCTATTCAATAGGCTAAGATCTGAGGACTGTGGCTTGAAGCCAGCCTGGGCAAGAAAGGCTATGAGACCCTCATCTCCAATTAACCACCAACTCCTCATCCCCCCCCCCCACAGAAAAACAACAAAAACAAGTGGAGCTGTGGATCAAGTGGTAGAACACTAGTCGAGCAAAAAACAAATACAAAAACCTCAAGGACACTGCCTAGGTTCTGAGTTTAAGCCCCAGGACCTGCAGAAAAAATAAAACCAACAACAAAAAAAATTAGTTAAATATGAAATTGTTTGTAAAATCTGCTTATTATAGGAGAGTCAAGTACACATTACATATAGTCATAGGATAGGTTATTAATGTCATTGAATGGGACTTAACATTATAAAAGGATGCAGGACCAGAGAAATCTTGTGAGGCAATTCCCTTTTGGTTATCCACAACTTTCCTGATGACTTTGTTTCTTTTGTAGGCTTTCTTAGTCAAGAATGGAAGAAGATGCAGATTATAGAATCAGGTTTAGTAGTCTATGTTTCATTAATGATCATGTTGGATTTCAGGGTACTATAAAGAACTCACCAAGTGACTTTATTGTCATTGAGATTGATGGACAGGGGCAGTTAGCTAATAAGGCTATTGATGAACCTTTTCTGGAAGTTAGTAAAATACCACCTGAGCCAGATAATATCGCCAAGAAGCCTAAACTTGATTTTCAAAATGGAACCTTTGATAATGGAAAAAATCAAGAAGTTATTGGTTTGGCTAGGTGCTCCCAGGGCGATCACAAACTTCAGTCTGATTCAGAAAAAGAAGACAGTACCACTGGTGGGACTTCCAATTGGGAGGAAGGAAAAACTGATTTATTAAGTTGTTTTTTAGATGAGAAAACTAATGAACAATTGAATCAATTTGCCCTAGAGATAAAAGAACAGTGGAATTTGAAAAGGGAGTCAGTGGAAGCAACTCCTGAATTGTCATTGGGCAAATTCCTTGAGAAAAACCGCAGGGCTGCCGTGCACAGTGCTGTCAGGCAGAAATTTCCTTTCTTAATCACTGTCGGTAAAAACAGTGAGATTGTTGTAAAACCTAATCTTGAGTGTAAAGAACTCTGTCATTTGGTGTCTGAAGAGGAAGCATTTGACTTTTTTAAGTACTTGGATGCAAAGAAAGAAAATTCGAAATTCATGTTTAAACCTGATGCGAACAAAGATCACAGAAAAGCTGTGCATCATTTTGTCAACAAGAAATTTGGGAATCTGGTAGAAACCAAGTCGTTTCCTGAAGGAAATTTCAAGAGTGGGAATAATGGAAATGTGATCACTGTAAGATTCCGGGAGAAGGTGCACACACCTGGAAAAAGACCTCTTCAAGGCCAAGAAAGGAAAGTTGTATATACAGGTAAGTTAATAAATCATTATCATTTCTTTAGATAAATGTGAGAAACAGTGTGAAGCCTCCAAGGAGTTATCAGTATTTTTTAAATGACAGTTGAGATCTATAATGGTGATTTTGTATTTTGTACATTTGTGTATTTTGTATATTTGTATTTTGATGAAAATGTTTGATGCAAATATTTTGAGTTACAGACTTGATCCTTTATCATAATCTGCTAGTGTGCTAGAAATGGAAACTGCCCCTTTTGTAATTCAGAATTAATTTTGTTTCAGCTTTTACTCTACGAAAGGAAAACCTGGAAATGTTTGAAGCACTTGGTTTTTTAGCCGTGAAACTTGGAGTGATTCCTTCGGATTTTAGCTATGCAGGCCTTAAAGATAAGAAAGCTGTCACCTATCAGTCAGTGGTGGTTAAAAAAGTGAATCCAGAAAGGTAATAAGTTATTGGTTTATAAGACAGAAGTTTGTGTGTGTGTGTGTGTGTGTGTAGTTTGAACTCAGGGTCTGGGCTTTTGTGCTCAAGGCTGGAGCTCGATTACTTGAGCCATTCCACTTCCAGCTTTTTGGTGATTTACTGGAGACAAAATCCCATTTTTCCTGCCTACACAGGCTTTTTTTTTTTTTT